TGTATGCGTCTTGAAGATCAAAATTAATTGTAATAACAACAACAAAAATGTGTATAAATATTATTTATAAATTTGTTTGTTACATAGTGAGATTAAAGAAATAAAATATTCTATTACAATTCATTGGGTGAACATAAAAATGAGGTTAGTTTGTTGGATATTTAAAGTAGCTCAGTAATTTTTTATGGAGTTGAGAGAAACGCCACACGTTGAGGCTGGACACTAAATTAATAAAGTGGTAAATGGCTCAGAAATGAACGACTGACTTGTTGCTGGAGGAAAGAGAAGAGGACAAGATTCAGCCAGTTAGGTATTTGTGCAATTGTTCATTAGTATTTTAGGTTGTACAATAAAGTCAAAACAAAGTAGACAAACTAGAAGGGGATTTCTCACGTTGTAGTATTTTTCAAACAACCTTTACATGACGGCATTAAAAAAATCTGTTCTGGTTTTTAGATTTGGTGAGTCACCCAAGATGATCAGTGGCGCGCATCACACACACACACACACACACCCTCTCTTGAAAATGTCTGCAGGCACCCTGGTATGGTGGAATGGCTGAAGAAAAGTGAGCACAGGTCAAAGTGCGAGCTGAGTGAACCTCCTGCAGTGTGCTTTGCTTCATGCACTTGTGCATGTGCAGAAACTGCGCACGTAGGACATTTCTTCTGTCAAACTGTGATTTTAGCCTCTTTTTTTTGGGGGTGCTCAAGCACCCATAAATTTAAACTCAGCACCCCTGAAATATTAGGAAGCCATTGTTAGGACGTTGTTGTCAAACCTTGGATTCATGAAAACATGGAAGAAATGAAGACGATGTTAAACGTGAAATCTAAGATTTCTGTGCACGAGTCTGATCCTTGATGCCACCTGTCAATCAATCCAGCACAGTCTGATCCTTGATGCCACCTGTCAATCAATCCAGCACATGTCAGCAACTGACCAATCAGCAACTCAGGGACCCGAGTTGCAAATTAGCTACAGCTACATGCCGTTTGTGCAACGCAGCAGCTACTGACTTGTTCTGTTCTATGTTTGTGTGCATTGTCCCTGTCAAATAAACCAACAACAACAACAACAACAACAACAACAACAACAACAACAACAACAACAACAACAACAACAAACAACTTGTCCTGAACTGAAACTCCCCTTAACTGCAGGAGCTGCGCCTCATTTTTCTCTGACCACGTTGTCGGGGTTTTGCTTTGCGGACACATGATGTTCAGAGTGAGTTCATGGAGAATCATCAGAAGAAACGGTTCAACATGTGGAGAACATGTAATATTCAGAACACGTGTTTCCCTCAACGTTTACAGGGTGGAACACACTTTATTATATGAAGCTAAACTGAGGCTGGACGAATGTATGCGGGCGACCTCATGATCAGCTGACTACAACAAACAGACATGTTGGTGTGTTTGAAGGTAGCTGCAGGTAAATCCTCCATTTTCTGTCATAGTTACATGCTAATTGTAACTCGTCGTACGTTAATGGTTAAAGGTTAAAGGTTAAAGCTGGTTGTGTTTCGTTCTGTGTGTAGATCTATGTTGTAACTTCTGGTTGCACAAGTTTAGTCTTTGTTATGATCAGTTAGCTCTGATTAAAGTGTTTGAGGTTGTGTAATGTAAAGAGGAGCGCTGCGTCTGTAGCATCTTAGCTAGCACGTCTGTATTGCACGATGCTAGCTTAGCGCTACTTCCTGTTCTCTCTAAAACAATTATTGAATCAAGTGTTTAGTTAAATGTAGAGGTTTAAAAACCCGTTAAAATAAACCAGAATGCAGGAAATGGCATCTACTTCATTAAAAATGTTCTGGGGGAGGACCCCCAGACCCCCCACCTCTGTGTCCCCCCACTTTACAAATGCTGCTGACACCAGTGGTCACCGTGTTGTTCAAGCCAAGAGCTGTTGTGAACACTGGGGGCTAGGCGCCCCTGAAGGTCAGACTGTAGAATAGTCCCTGACTGAAAGGCCACGTGGGTGCACGTGTGGGTGCACGTGTTTGAGAGTGTCTCCAAGGAGAAGAACTGTCCGGCAGAATGAGGCATCACAGCTTCTCACTGACACGGAGTTCCTCAAACACATGGCGATGAAGAGACGAGAGGAACGCAGACGATAAGAAACAGAAAGTCTTCTGAAGGATAAACCTGATGCCGTGCACGTCCTGGACCATCCAGCCTGTGCACGTGTGTGTCATTGCTCGTAGCGCGTTAACTGCTCAGGGTACACAACGCCCTTCACTTGGGAGCTTTACGGGCCTGGACTCCACTGGGAGACTCGGTGTTTCCAGGAGAACAAGATGCTAAAAACAGGACCAGTGTGTGCACGTGCATGTGTGTGTGCACGTGCGTGTGTGTGTGCACGTGCGTGTGTGTGTGCACGTGCGTGTGTGTCCCATGTCTAGCTTCACTGACTGCTGTGTGTTTGTTGCAGCGAGGACAAAGAGCAGGGCCTGCCTAACACTGTCTTCAATAGACAGTCGTAATGGTTGTCATTGCATGTGGTTGACCCAGATCTCGCTCCACTAGAAAGACATGCGCGCGCACGTGTGTGTGCGCTCCACATTTATTGAGGCGTGCACGTAGGCACACGTCCCTTTATGTGGCTCAGAGCTTGGCAGACCCCACTCCATAGTTGCAGTGTTGTGATAATGCTCGTACAGTTCCAGGACCTTGTTAGGGACGCACGGTCTCACGGGAGGCGGACGGGCGACACTGAGCGTGTGCGAGCGCCGCTCCCCTCCATCCACAGAGCGCCGTTTCACCTGGATCACCTCAAGCACTTCTTCTCACGCAGAAGAGACAGACCCTCCAAGAAAGGGTTTGGTCAAAGAGTAGACCGTCTCCTCACACAGAAAACCACTTGTTGAACTCGTTCTCTTCAAGTGACCTTGTGCAGGTTAACGTCTGAGATCGATGTGCTCCCATGACTCGGTGACGCTCCGGCAGCACAAGCAGCAGGTTCAAAAACATTTCAAAGGTTTTAGAGTTGTTGTCGAGAAATGTCACAAAGAGGAGAGAAGTAGGAAACGTCACTTCACTTCAGTTTATTTCTAAAGCTCCAAGTCACAACAGAAGTCGTCCGAGGGACTGAACACAAACATCCATCTTCCTCCTCTTATCCGGGGTCGGGTCACGAGGTAGCAGCCGAAGTAGGGAGGCCCAGACTTCCCTCTCTCCAGCCACTTGGTCCAGATCCTCCAGGGGAATCCCGAGGTGTTCCCAGACCAGAGAAACATAGTCCCTCCAGCGTGTCCTGGGTCTTCCTCTGGGTCTCCTTCTGGTGGGACATGTCCGGAACACCTCACCAGGGAGGCGTCCAGGAGGCATCCTAACCAGATGCCCGAGCCACCTCAACTGGCTCCTCTCGACGTGGAGAAGCAGCGGCTCTACTCTGAGTCCCTCCTGGATGACAGAGTAATGTTGTGTATGTTGTTCAGTGTCAGGAGGGTGATCAGTCTTACATCGGGGAAACTAAACAGCCACTGGCCAAAAGGATGGACCAGCACAGAAGATCAACATCATCAGGCCAGGACTCTGAGGTCTACACTCATCTCCAGGTCAGAGGTCACTCTTTCAGGGATGAAGATGTTCACATCCTGGACAGAGAGGAACGATGGTTTGAGAGAGGAGTAAAGGAGGCCATCTTTGTGAAAAGAAACCGTCCATCATTAAACAGGGGCGGAGCCTCCGGGTTCAACTGTCCCCCTCTTACAATGCTGTGATTGCTAGTATCACTCAGCCCTCTGTGAACAGTAAACAGCCATCAGGTGCTAATGATCCATTGTTAGGCTGATGGTCCTTCTTGAGCATGTGATCAGCTGGTTCTGGTTGTCAGCAGCAAACTGGTTGATCCACTCTGAGAAGGTGCTATTTAAGAGACTGAGCTGAATACAGCACCTCAGACTGAGGAAGTCCTCAGGATGAAAGACGAAACGTTTCTACATTTTTTTGTTGTTTTATTTTTTGTTTTTTTTTAATGTCCAGAGGACCAGACTGAACTTTTTTGAATAAAGACTAAGTTCATCCATGGGGGGCCGTGATGAGCAGAAGGACTCCACACATGGTTGAACAGGTCTTGGGGTGAAATATGAAGGTAAAATCAAAAATGGCCGACCTCGACACAGTAACAAGCAGAAAACTCTCTCTCCTGATATTTTACTAACAGCAGTTACACATCGTTTAGGATGATGATGAGGATTAAATGTGAGGAAGGACTGGCTGCTGCATTCTGGATAGACAGACAGGCAGACAGACATAGACAGGCAGACAGATGGACAGAGAGACAGATGGACAGACAGACAGATGGACAGATAGACAGACAAGACAGGCAGACATAGACAGACAGGCAGGCAGACGGACAGACAGGCAGACGGACAGATGTTTTTTTTTTTTT